GAGTGTATTGTGTGGTGGTGTGTGTGTGGTGTATATGCATGTGTGTATACAATCAAATGTGATGACAAATCAAAGTATGGCCAAAGGAAGTTTAATTTTTTTATGATGTAGTTCATTTTCTTCTATCTTAAGAATGCTCATATAACCATTAGCCAAATTAACCTGAAATGTTTCTCTCCTATAGCTGTCATACAATGTCAGTCCAGGAAGCGGGTGGAAGAGAACGTGGAAGTTACACTGTGTGGTGATTTTTTTGGAAACCATCCTACTCCAGAAATGACAGAATTTTTAGTGATTCCAAACAAAAATTCATATAATTTTTATGATGGTTTTTCTGGTAAGTTAAAACAGTCATGGATATATAAAATGATAATAAATAAAAACTCAGTTTCCTTGAATTGCAGGTTGCTGATTACTCAGTTTCATGAAGACCCATGTTCATTTACTTGTCATTTATAACATAACATTCAAACGGTGCTTAAGAAGTACTCAGTTGTTACATTTGTTGTTTTCACATAGTAGGTAGCTCAAAAATGCCAACAGTTATGGTTATTACTGGATTTATAAGACATATATTGTGATTCTGTCAACAGTGAGAAGAGAAAAAACTGTAGTAACTGTAATTTTCACTTTCCCTCAACTTTAATTTCTTGTTTTACTCTAAGGAATAAGATTAAAGCCATGACTTTCAGCTTTAAACTTAGAACAAACCTTGAATAAAATGTTTCTTATTTCAAGAAATATAAAAAGTAACATAAATTAGATATGGTAGGCAAATACGTTTTATATAATGTTTATTGTATGCGTTTGTTATGTATTCAAGATTTTTATATGAAAATTTTGCTATCTCATTTTTTAAAAGTCAAAATAATTTAAAATATGTTATTTATATATCTAAACATATATCACTTGAAATAAATAATATGGTACCAAATGATATCAGCAACATGGTGGAAAAGAGAGCTCTGGACTCTCCTTCCACCCACAAACACACCAATTCAGGAACAATTCATGGACAAATTCCCTTCATGAGCCAAGAAAAATTAATTGAAAGGCTCTTGCACCTTGGGAGAATATGAAACCATACTTACCAAAGCCTGTAGGGAGATTTAGGACACCCTCTTGCCAGAGATACTGTCCCTGCCTTCTCATGACATTGGTCTTGGCAACAATTTCATGATTACAACATTAAAAGCACAAACAACAAAAACAAAAATAAACAAGTAAGACTACATCAAACTCAAAAGCTTCTTCGCAGCAATGGAAACAATCAACAGGGTGAAAAGGTGACATATGGAATGGGAAAAGATAATTACAAACCATATATCTGATAAGAGGTTAATCTCTAAAATATATAAGGAACTTCTACAATTCAACAATTTTAAAAACAACTAATAACCTGATTAAAAAATAGGCTATGGACTTAAACAGAAATTTCTTCAAAGAAGATATATAAATGATCAATAGCTATATGAAAAAATGCTCAGTGTCACTCATCATCAGGGAAGTGCAAATCAAAACCACAATGAGATACAACCTCACACCTGTCAGCATGGTTATTATCAACAAAACAAAACAAACAAAACCCAAATGTTGGCAAGGATGTGGGGAAATTTGAACCCTTACACACTGTTGATGGGAATGCAAAATGGAGCAGCTGCTATGGAAAACAATATAACAGTATGGAGGCTCCTCAAAAAATTAAAAACAGAACTACCAATGATCCAGCAATCTCATTCTGGGTATTTACCTAAAATAATTGAAATTAGGATCTCAAAGAGATGACTGTACTTCCATGTTCATTGTAACATTATTCACAATAGCCAAGCTGTGGAAACAATATAAATGTCTGTCCACAGATGAGTGGACAAAGAAAATGTGGTATATACATAGAATTTAATACTATTCAGCCTTAAAAAAGAAGGAAATTCTATAATGCGACAACAGGAATAACACTGGAGGATATTATGCTAGGGAAATAAGCCAGTCACAGAAAGACAAAACACTACATGATACCACTTAAAAATTTAAAATAGTCAAACGCATAGAAGCAGAGAGTGAAATAGTGGTTGCTAGGGTCTAGAGGGAAGAAGAAATGGGGAATTGTTGTTCTATGAGTGTAAAGTTTCGGTTATGCAAGATGAATAAATTATAGAGATCTGTTGTACAACATAGTGCCTATAGTTAACAATATTGTATTGTGCAATTAACAAATTTGTAAATATAATGACTTTTTTTCCTTTGGGTAGATATCCAGTAGTGTGATTGTTCAATTGAATGGTAGGTCTACTTTCAGTTCTTTGAGGACTCGCTATACTGTTTTCCATAGAGGCTGTACACCAAAAGCCTTGATTTCAGCATTATATAATACAATTGATCCATGTAATAAAAATCACTTGTACCCCCTAAATCTACTGAAATAAAATTTTTTTAAGAGGGTGGATTGCCTGTTATACTAAGTGTAAAGGCAGGTAAAGAAATATTTGTACATGGAAACTATTTTAATATGTTCTCTCTATTTTAAATTGCTTAAGTTGTAGTCTTGTTAGGTTAGGTTGCAAACTAAAGAGGTTTTAATTCTTTTTTTTTTTTTTTTGAGACAGTGTCTTCCTCTGTTGCCCCAGCTAGAGTGCAGTGATGTCATCATAGCTCACTGCAACCTCAAACTCGAAGGCTCAAGCGACTCTCCCTCCTCAGCCTCCCGAGTAGCTGGGACTACAGGCATGCGCTACCATGCTCAGCTAATTTTTTCCATTTTTCATAGAGATAAGGTCTCCTTGTTTTGCTCAGGCTGGTCTCCAACTCCTGGCCTCAAGTAATCCTCCATCCTCAGCCTCCCAAAGTGCTAGGATTACAGGCATTAGCCACTGTGCCTGGCTAAGAAGTTATAATTCTGAGAAAATAAATTGATTAAAACTTATTACTTGAAAAAATCAACTTCCTCCTAGATAATCAGGGTCTATAAGGAAGCTGCCAGACATCATTTTGGGAACATTGAAAGTCATATTAGGAAAGCAGTCTCTCTAAAATAGGTCTTGAGAATACACCTTTTGATATGGCTCTTATTTTACTGCTTCGCTACTTGTCATGATGAAAAATAATATTTAATATTGAAAATAATTATGTAGAAGGTTTATAGGCTTATCTCCACTCATAATTCTCTCTGAAACAGCTTTTCTTCTGTGCTCAGGACCACCAAGCTCAGCATGCTCGTCTGTTTTTTGGCTAAAGACATTTTAATTTGTGAATCTTCTTTTTTATTCTCCTGAAGTATGTCCTGTTATGCAGAAGTAGAACAGATTAGTCCTCTCTCAACTTTAATATTTTCTCTGTCTTTGTGGTACCTGAATATTTGATAGAATGAGTTGACCTCATTTTCCCCTTAAAGACATATGGCAATTACTTGGTTCCTTTCCCTGTCCTTATTACAAGGGCATAACCGACTTCCTGCACTCCCTCTAAGTCTCCCTGCTTGCCCTGTCCTTCCCGCCTATTTCTTTATGAAAGGACAAGTCTGAGCAGAAAGTCTGAATATTATTTTAGTTTTTAGTATGTTAAAAAGCAAACCAGCTCCTTTCCCCCTCGTGTGTAATTTAATTACAGTTTACACAGCACGTTAAAGAGTCATGTTGTCCAAGCCATTTTGTACTTTCTATTGTCTCTTAAATCCCTTATGGGGGAAATTAAAGCACTCCACTCCGTGGCTTGGACTCTGATTAAGGTTTTAGGAGTGATAATTAATCACACACTTGTGTTCCCTCATTCAAGTATGAATCCAACTGAGGAGGAGATGTAAAATAAGGCAAATGGAGATAAAAAATGTTAGCTTTATTCATTATAAAAATGAATTGGAAAGTTACTTGTAACTGTGGACTCATTTGGGCTTATCATTATAATAACTTCCACCAAATTGAGTGCATTCATGCCAAACTGGCCAATTGTAGACTCCTTGCAGGGACAAACAACCTACATATGAGGGAGGAGAAGAAAGTGTGAATCCTGGATTCAAGACATTGGGAAAGAAAGAAAAGGGTATGCTCATCCACTCCTGTTCCATTTCTTCACTCATATTCACTGATCAGATGTGTTTCTTTTCCTCCCACGGCAAATCATAATGGAGAAGGCATATTGAACCGGAGATATTTTTCCTTCTATGCTTTTCCCTTCTTGTGAGTGAATAGGCCTCTCTACGTAAACCTGACAAGTAGGAGATAAGAATTCCCAACATTCCCTTTCTATCATCCTCCCTTTATCTTCATAATATACTTTCTCTGAATCACGTAAAACTATCAAGCCTCTTTAAATGAAAATGTAAGGACCTCTCTTCTCTCTTCACCCAGACTCACCATACATACATTTGAGTTAACTGGGATCGATCACTTTCATATCTTTATCGTTCACCAACAATCTAGTAAGCATCTTTACTGCCAGATATTATGCTCAGCCCCAGAGATTCCAAAATCATCAAGACACAGACTCTGTTGTCAGGCGGTTCAAAAAACATCTATTCAACATGATAGATTTATGCATCTTTACTATTTAAATCAATCAGTATTGCCCTACTGGGATATTATTAAATATTATACTTGGACTTTTATAGTGTGTTTTGCAATGTCACTTCTATACACTTATGAATCACTGTCTGTGGGCAGGATTTCCCTTATAATTGTATTTTTTCTTCCTAAGTAGCTCTTCGTGCATGCATTCTTTGTGTTTCTCTGGGGATTAGTTCAGTGACTTTCTCTTTGGGGCTTTCTGTCTGAGAGTAGTTTTACTGCGTAACTGCACATCTTCTTTTTATTTCCCAGATGTTCTATAGCTCAAGACTGTTGTTCTTTGATGAACCTGTTGTCTTTTATGTGTCTGATTTGGTGATTTATGTGTCAGACTTGACTCATTTCACTCTAGGCCAGTCATCTTGCTGTGTTTCTGTTTGCATATTGTATATAAACTCCCATGTAGGGTTTGGTCTGTCATCACAAGTAGCACCTGAGAAACCTGCCATTCATCCTCTCTTGATCCAACATTGGCCTCTAGCCTTTGACCCTTTGCTCTGAACCTCTTTACTTTGATTATTCTGATCAACTCACTCCATTAAGGCTTTTTTACTACCTACTCTAATAGAATTATCCTTGAAAAGACTATCAACCTTATTTAGTATGCCTAATACAATGGTCAGATTTGTGTTCTGACCTTACTTTACCTGTCTGCAGAATTTACCAATTGACCAAGTTGAAGGACTTTCTGCTCTTGGTTTTTATGACTCACCTTATTAACTTATTATCTCACAGGTTGTCCCTTCTTCATCTCTGTTGTTTGCTTCCCTTTCTCTGACCACAATCTAAATGTTTTATGTTTGAGTGCCCCAGGGCTCTGCCCTGGGGCCACCACATTCCTATGGACAGATTATGTCCTACACACTTCCGGACAATGCTAACGGTGCTTCTTCAACAATTGTGCCACATGACAAGTCAGCTATCTTAGGTTGTGAACTGTCAGACAGCTTGGGTTATGTATTTAGTAGGACCTTGGGAAAATTACTTCACTGTAAACGCAGTTTCTTCAACTGAAATGTGGAGATAATAATGGTATCCATTTTATAGAATATTTTTGAGGATTAAATGTGCAAATGAATGTATAATCCTTAAAAAATGCCTGGTTCTTAATAAGCGTTCCGTAAGTGTTAGATATCATCATCATCATGTAAAGCTCTAGCTGAGTATCATGTGATAGTGACGTACTAGAAGGCCCATCTTCAGTCACTAACAAATGATATTTTGAAATGGAAACAATCCTTTCAATGGAGTTCAGTGAGTTTTCTCAGAATTACAAAAGAGAATCATCTATGAAAAGGTACAAAAATGTGGTACCTAAATCTTGCACAGAGTAGGTTCTTTCCAAATTAAGAACAGCAAAACACATATTTCTTACCTGATAGTATGATATTTCAAGTAAAATGTAGTGACGCTAATAGAACAGCTTTAAAACACAATAAAAAATAACAATTTATCATGATTTCATCAAATCTGATTCTTTCTTCCTCCTTACAGGCTCATATCAAATTCTCATATGGTTCCCACTTGCCCCAGCCCTTGCCTCCTGGCTGATAATCATGACTGTATCTTGTACCAATGAACCTTCTGATGAATGGAATTATGACATCCTCAGTGACAGATCCCTATAGGGGGCTCAATGCTTCTGAAACTAAAATTAGCTTCCCATTCTCTAGTTTCATTCTGGAACCACCATTCTCAAGAAGGCTTCAATAATTAAGCAAAAACAGATATAGATCTCCACTACATACAAGACTTGCTTTTGAAAATCTTTATTATGTTATTTGAATGCAATGGAAATTTCATTTCCATAAAGCATCTAAAATTCTTAAATGTTGTTTTCTCTGTATGGATTATGGGTTCCCCTGGGACATTTCCATATTCTATTTTCAGAACAAATAGACATACTATATATAGACACATTAATTTTGGTACATCAAAGAATGATTATTTATAGGAACAGAAATTTCTGATTTTGTCAACAGGATGAAAACCAGCAATTTAGGAGATCAGA